AGAGAGAGAGAGAGAGAGAGAGAGAGAGAGAGAGAGAGAATAAAGAGAAAGTGTATTAGTTACATCTTATTAAATATCAAAAGACTTTATACCAAAAGATTTTCATCGATTGGTGAATTAAAGATCGCTGTATTGTCTAGGAGAATTCCATGAAAAGATATGTGGTCATTAATTGTTAATACTTTTTCGAGGATCTTTCATATATATTTATATAAATTAACTCCGAAATCTGTCCATTCTTTCAGTTTTTCTTATCTTTTAATCATAAAGGTATACGTTATATCTCAGATAATAAGAGACTTTTCTCTTACCAGACGAAACCTGACAAATGATAGCTTGGAACAACCAAAAAAAAGAGCGAGTTTCGGAAGAAGAGACGAACAGGGAATAGGGAGACAGAAAGACGCTAGTTTCTGGAAGAAAGTCGCAAACTCGGCAAAATGCTCAAGTCTGAAATCCATCTTGATCTTACGTTTTCGAATCTTCAGGTTTTTTCAACGAGATAAATTTAAAACAAGAGTTTTCCGAGTACATCTTGCCATACACTATTTCATCTTAAACTACTGATTTTTTGTTAAGTTCGGCCTCGAATTATTTTTTAAGTACTCTGTTAGAAAGATAGCAATTATTATTTATATATAATAATAAATAATTATAATAAATAATTGCGATTTTTATATTTTTACACAAAAACAATATTGCTGATCAGTCAGTTGTATTGCAAAAACGTACATGAATAATTTTCTTGTTGCAATTTTTGCGTTAATTCGGAGACATCCGTTGTGTCGTATTTTGTCGCTAGTGTCGTGCGTGATAAACTATTCCCAGGAGATTATTTTATCAGTATTCAAACTCTATTTACAGCGGATTGCACTACACGTGCGAGTTAAACTTTTGGGATCAGTACAGGATTTATAACTTACACACGGTAAATAAATTTTATCTACCGAATTAGTTTGGTATTATAATCAGAGAATGCCATTTTCATCCTGACAATCGCCGATTGTTGCAGTCGATTTTCATATTGACTGCAGCAAGCGTTTTCAAATTATTAACAACATCGTATATAAACGAAAGATTAAATGTTTTATATCACGATTTCATAATGTTCAAGAGAACAAATGTTTCTGAGCAGTTGCATAACAAGCGATTATTAATTGAAAGCAATATTTATTGGATGATAAATGTGTAGATTGATTGATATAAAAGATAATCTCTTTATTTGTTACGTGAATGATTGAACTCACTGATGCCAATAATCAATATTATAAATAATGGCGAATGTAGTTTGACTTACGGTCGTAGTCCATATCCAATAATTGAATTTGTCTAATTGAATACTCACATTGACATTAAAGCGCTAAAGAAAAGAAAAACAATATAAAAAACACTGTCCTCTTACTTCAAAGTGACACCATAAAAAAGTTAAGTTTCTCAGAAAAGGAAAAAAACTATTTTTTTAATTAGTCAATAATTTGACATAAAATTATTGACTAATTAAATAATATAAACAAAGAAAGAATATATATACTTAATATGATCAAATATTATTTATATCAATTTTGTTCTAATAATCTTTAAAAAAATCGTCCTTTTATGATAATTTTAACGATCTTTTTAAAACCACCTTTTGTGTTCAGTCGTAATTATTTTGAAAATTTTTTATAAAACTAAGTTAGTTGCTTTTAATTATTAATGGGACAATTTTACTTAATTGATTTATGATAATAATTCGAAAATCACATTTTTTTATTTGTGTCACTTTTGAAATAAAAAAGCGATATTGAGAATGTAATTTTATAGGAAATTCTCTAAAATAGAAACGGAAATCTTTGTAACAAAATTAATTTTTATAAAAAGTTATTCTTTAATAGATATTAAGAGTATGTTTTTTTCATTAAATATCATCTTCCGTTATATGATTTACATACAGAAATAAGCACAATTTTTTGAACTTTATTGCACTATAATTTCCTCAATAAAACTTTCTTCTTTTTTTTTTTTCATTTTAATGATTCTTGCCGGATTTGTACGAGTATCTGTAACGTGTGGTGTGACGGGAGCCACGGCTAATAATAAATCAGCGCTGTACGAGCATTTTATTGGAGTAGGCATTCTTCTCGCCGTGGAAGGAAGTTTTTGCCACTCTGTGCGTGCTGCACCGTTCAGTTACACGATGACGGATAATTAATGCCAAGCGGCGCGCGGTCTTGATTTATTGCGAGTGATGTAATTACCGGCGCGTTCGGATTTGCAATACGCAAAAATTTTACGGAGGCTGGAACTTGAAGAGTCATGATAATTTCCTGCATGATTAATAAATATCGTGAATTGATTGCCCGTTACTATACTAATACTTATTGGATAATATTTTTACTCTCGCTTTACTTGTTTACATGCTGTTAATGACAAGATCCTGACAGGATCTCTCTACTACGGTAAAAATATTATAGTCGATTAATATTAATATATAATATTTAATTAATATATAATTTCGATATTTTAATGTTTTGTTCAGAATCTGCATCCAAAAAAATCGTTATTTCATCAAGACTGTTATTTAAAATGTAATTCTTGTTATTATATAGTATTGTTATTTTATTTTAAAAATAGAGACTCGAAATTGAGCACAGAATATATTTATATACAATTTAATAATTTGATTTATTGTTTTTATAAAAATATATAAAAATAATCAGAAATTAACACAAACACACACACACACACACACACACACACACACACACACACACACACAC